GATTATATGGTACCCTACTGTGTGTTATTAACAGGTGTGACAGTTTAGCAATTTTCCAATTTCTGTAGCTCAGACTGTGGTAATCCAAACTATCACATATTTTCAGTGGATGTGCTCTACTAGACCCTTACTTCACATACCAAATTTAAAGACAATACATTAAGAAATACACGAGATATAACATCTCCAATTTTGATTAAATTGCTTCCTTTTTTTTTCACACCAAAAGTAGGGAAACTTTATTTGATAGAAAAATATATTTAACTTTCATAGATTTTTCAAATTTTGTACACTGATAGATCTTTATAACCTACAATTAGGTGTCAAAATAGTGTAAATATAAGTCACATGTGCTAAGTTATTGAACAAATACCACTAAATTTTGACTAAAATTTTTGTGCATGCTTATGCAAAAAGCCACGCAAGCTATCAGTCTGAAATTTTTACTACAGCTTCACCATTCTGTAAAAGTGGACCATTTTTAGGTTTTTGTCATTCGGATTAAAGAAAGCTGATTTAGAGCAGCAAAACTATAAGGTGAAAGCACGTGTAGATACACAAGAATTGGTTAGGCCAAGCAAACTAGATTAGCAGTTTTTAGCTCAAGTTTTTAAAGAATCATACGGTTATTATTAATTATTCATTGCACACTTTCAAGCACAAATTTGCTAAATTTTATGCAATTCTCTTGATTAAAGAGCATTTAGCATCACATGATATTAGCTTAAGCAATTATCATAAATAATGATGTTCGATACAGCTGTACCAAGTGCATGCAGGTGATGAAAAGAAACTGTTAATCTAGTTTCCATGACGTTACTTTCAAGGAAGTTATTAATGCTGTTTTAAAGAGGAAAACTACCACAATATATTTTAAAGAATCTGGTTGGTTCTGTAAATTATAGGTCTGTTCCAAATAACAGGGTTGCAATTCTAATGCTAATGTTGGTTATTATGAAGTGTCACTTTCTTACTTGATGTGGTCTGTGTGTATTGACAAAAAGTCATGATATCTAATGAAAAAACCTTGGGTGTGAAAAAAAGATGCAGCCAATAAAAGGATTGAGCATGTGACTTAAAGGAATGAAATCAAAATTGGCAGCCAAACTGGTAGCTATACTTATAGAATGATAAGAATTTTACCCCAAATATTCATTTGTTAGTTAGTTTTATTTTACTTACCATCATGCCCCAAGTTAAACAAAAAATGCTGCCTGGCAAACTAATGAATG